AGGATTCAGAGAGTGGCGGGGAGGAGATTTTGGAAGAGATACGGTTCAGAGTTCTCCAGAACTGCTGAAGGACATGAGTCTTTAGCTTGAAGACGTATACCTCGGAGAAGCAAATGGTCTAAATAAAAATAACTCCACGCTGAGACACAGCCTGGAGGAACTGCTGAGCTGTGCACTGACAAAGTCCAGAACGCAAAAACAGACTGAAATCCTCCAAGGAATCAGAAATGATCAAGATCTCACACATACAGGCACAGTTCCCCAAAGCAAATGTAATCATTACATATCACCAACATATACTAATAAAAAAAGAGATCATTTTAAAATACAAAAAGCCAGATTAATCAAGTCAATGCCGATTTGTGCAGGAAAAATAGCTCTTCTAATGTTTTATAGAAGAACAGTCAAATGTGTTGCTCATCTGTTATTTCCTTTTTTGAACTTTTGGTTTATTCTGTCTTTTATGCTTTGTTTCCTACAATCTGTAAATGTGCTGGCACCAAACAGCCATCACTGTTTTGTCTGTTCAGTGACAAAAACAACAAAAAATCCTCGAATGTCACAGGCAGCTAAACCAGCTTTCGAGAGCAAAGCAAACTCACACCATTTCCAGATGAACAAAGTAGGGCCTGGGATATAGCTCAGCGGCATAAGCAACTGCCTGGCAAGCTCAAGGTCCTGAGTTCAAGTCCTGGCACAAACAAAACAAAACAAAACACATGAACAAAGTAGAGTTTGATCACTCACAAGCCCTCCCTACAAGAGCGACTGCAAAGACCCTTCAGAAGAGGCAAGCTGACCCTAGAAGGTACACTGCAAGGACAGGTAATGAGCAAAGAAATCAGTAAACATGAGTTAAATGTAAATTTAAGTAATAATTTAAATTTAAGTAATCAAGTGTATGAAAGAGCAATATTAAAATGCAGTACCTGAACCCCAACTCTGGTGCAAGGAGCTCACTGGCTTTAAATCTTATGCACCTCCAGATTCCCTCCCCGCACTCCATCTCTCAGGCCCTGCCCTGCTGACCGCCTCTCAGCTGGCACAGCCGGCCTCTGGGGCCAAGGATTCGGGTTAGTGCCTCCGCTCCTGGGTGTTGGTGAAAACCACACTGCAGTCCAAGCAGCCAATGGAAGGGCCTGGAGTTTTGCAGGCCTTGACTTCTCTTCTGGAAATGAGGGTGAGAGGGGCTGGGCAGATAAAAGCCCCTCCCTGGTGCACATGAGGAGAAGCCCTGAGTGCCAGGGGACGCACCTGTGGGCATCTCTGCACGCACCCAGATGCTGGGGGCAGCACAGAAACTGACCCTTAGCATAAGGTAGCCTGGAGTTTCACCCAGCAAGGCTCCAGGTGTCCCTGGAAAGCTGCACCAGCAATTACAGGTAGACCTGCTGGAAATGCAAACTCTCAGTCTGTTACGTCACAAGCCCCCCAGGGGGCCCCTGACTGGGTGCCCTCAAGTTTGCAGCCTCCTGGGCGACAGTACTGTCCATAGCCCATCCTATTAGGTATGCAAGAAGACATTACAACGAGCTGTGAGCCGTGAGTATATCCAGTGGGGCTTGTGATGGGCTATAATACTGCTCACTGGATGTTTCGGACTAGCAGAGCCCTCCCCTCTCTCTCTACAGCATGCCACAGACTTGTGGCCCTCAGCCGCAGTCCTGCAGTGAGGTTGGTAAGGATCAGGACCCGGCTAAGCCATGATGGGCACAAGACAGGAACAAGGAATAAAGCATTGCTATTTTAAGCCACTGGGATTTGAGCTTTGTTTGTTATTGCAGCACAACCCAGCCCATCCTGTCTGACACTAAGCTGATTATTTTCCAAGAGCAGATACTATACTGGTGGCAAGGGGGCACAAGGAGCAGACTCAGCTGTATTTGCAGATGACCAGAGGGGAGAGGTTCTAGTCTGGTTCTGGTGAAGCCAGAGGTGTCCTGCCTGCCCCCACGGGGAAGGCGGTGGCCTGCAAGCACCAGGCTTCTCCCATTTCTCCCTTTGGCAAGTTCTCCACCCTGGGTCTGCAGAGCTGGCTGCTCCCCCACCCCTACCCCATGGAAACAAGCCAGAAGGAGCGGGTGCTGGTGACAGGTGACCCCCACCTGTGACAGGCTGAACTCCATCTCACCAGCATTCACATTCTCTCCCCTGCCCCCTGGGGACCTCAGAACACGACCTTATTTGTAGACAAGGTCTTGCAGGCTGTCTCAAGTGAAGATGAGGCCATTACGATGGGCCTGATTCCAACAGGATATCTGTTCTTTTTAAAAGAGGAAATGAGGCTGTGCGTGGTGGCGCACGCCTGTAATTCCAGTACTCGGGAGGCTGAGGCAGCAGGATCACCATGAGCTCAAGGCCAGCCTGAATCGCATAGTGAAACCCTGTCTCAAAAAAGAGGAAACGCAGAGATAGACAGACACACCTATACAAGGAAAACGCCATGTGAAGGTTGAGCTTGTGTCGTCATTAAGTAAGCAGCTGCTAGAAGGCAGGAGGGTGACCTGGGACAGACTGTACCCTCCCTTCACCGCGCACAGAAGGATGCTGCTCTGCAGACACCTTTATCTCAGACTTCTGAAATGCAGAACTGAGAGACAATACGCCACTGTTTAAGCCACCAGCCTGCTGGACTCTGTCCCCTCAGCAGCACCTGGGCAGGTGATACTGCCCCCCCGACCCCGGCCTCCCTCTCCTTCCAGCTCGGTGGTGCCCGGCAGCCCCTGCTCCCCAGCACGCTCACACCCACCCTGAGCCGCCTCCTTCTGGCAGGCTGTGCGCTCTCCGAGGCAGCTGCCACCCGTCACCTGTGTTGCTGTCCCATGCCTCCTGCACAGCAGGAAGCAACAAAAGTAAGCTGAATGGATAAACAGGAGCGCACGGCAGAAATCCTTTACCAGGTATCCGAGGATCGCACTGTGCAGCTTTATATATATATATATATATATATATATATATATATATATGTATATATATATATATATATATGTAGAGGACATTTCTCCCAGGGGAAGAATTCATAGACCACTTTGAGCAGCTAAAATAAAAGCCATGATTAAGATAAACGTTTAGCACATAGGCCACGGGAAGGGAACTGAGGTTTACCAAGCCCTGTAACGCAGGTATCACTGTCCCATTTCTCCAAAGTGGAGGCAGAGGGGCCAGGAGGTCAAGTCTCACCTGGGCTCGCTCAGCAAGAAGCAACCCCTCTCGGCAGCCCATGATGCAGACCCTGGAGCCAGGTGGCCTGGGCTCAGAGCCACTCTCTAGTCATGTGATATTGGGTGACTTAAAAAAAAAAAAAAAAAAAAAAATCCCTCTGTGACTCAGTTTCCCCATCTGTACAATGAATGAAAGGTGCCCTCCTCCCAGGGTTGTTGTGAGGAGTAGAGGTGTCCATCAGGAAGAAGGACCAGACGGGCCTGGCACACGGTGTGCACCCACAACTCCAGGAAAACAGAGAAAAGCTAAGAATGGCCTAGAGCTTCGACCCCAGGCTTGTAGGCCTCGTGTCAACCCTGCTACCATGCCACGATGCCCCCATGTCCTCTGTCTCTGCTGGAACACTGCTCTTCCGCTCCAGGAAAAGCTTCAGTTCTCAAAGTGGCTTTTCCAGGGGCTCCCTGGGGGACCGGCCTGTGGCCTCCCGCTCGGCAGGAAGTGTCCTGCGGTTATGTGAGGAGGAGGCCGAGAGGTCAGGAGCGGTCCTCCCCGTCAGCAAGACCGTGGTCCAGCAATCAGGACATAGAGCATTTCTGCCCGGTCTTCACTTTCTGAGCTCTTACTGCCTCTGCTCCTGGGAATTACAACGGGCTCATGTGTTCTGGGGCTGGTGCTGACGCCAGCCTGTGTAATTTCCTGAGTCCATCCCTGGGCCACAGGCTGGACGGGCCACAGGCATCCGCCCTGCTCTGGTTTTATGATCCTGTGCCCGGCCTGGCCGGCTACACACAGAGCAGCCCCAGCTTTGTGCCCACCCCATCTCAGCCCTGGTCCCCGGGTTCACCCCAGTGTTCTAGCTCCGTCCCCGACACTGCTGCTGAGGAACGGCCTCTGGAACTTGCTTCCTGTGGGATTCTTTATCTTTTTCCTGCAAAACCTTTCCTATTGAACCCACCTGCAGGAGCATTTTTCACTCACTCCTGTAATGCGATTAGAATCGAGTTTCTCCAGCGTTAGAGGCAACGGAACAACAGGAGAGGAGAAGTGTCATGTTGTCCCCAATATACCAACACCAGCCTGTCCCGGTTCTCCCCGGGGCCCCGCCCTCTGCCACCCCACCCCCGCCTTCCTGGACGGCGAGGAGAATGCTAACAAGGACAAGGCAGCTGCTCTCGGTGCGGGCCGCCCCTCGGGTCTTAAATGGGGGCCTCTCAGCTTCTCGGACAAGCGCCTGCAGTCGGGGGAGTGTTCAGATGTCCCCTGGAAAGTGTACAGGGAAGGTTGAGGCCATTCCCAGAGCCATGGGAGCAGACTGCTGGTCCCCAAGGGCCCTGCGGCTGCCAGGGACACAGCGCCTGCCTTTCCAGGGAAACACCACGGCTCCCGACTCTGGCGGTTAGAGACAAACAGGGAGAGAGGCAATGCTGGCCTCTTGCGCACCCATCTTCCCTTCACTGGCCTCCAGTCCTTTTTGGAACCGCCCCCCTCCTGCTGGGACCCTCCCCCGTGGTCTCGCTTACCCTGCCAGCCTCCTCTTAAGGACTGTGCTTTGCTGTCCTACGTACAGACTTGCCCTGTGCCCGGCGTTCAGTGCTTCTCCGGGGGGGCCCACTTAGAAGCATCCATTGTCCTCCACCACCATCAGAGCCTAGGATCACCCTGCTCTGGTCCACCTGTATGGAGGCTGAGCTGATCCTTTATGCCCTCTGAGCACAGGCAATGGGGAGACTTCTAGAATCGTGGGTTGGCTGAGGCCTGCTGCCCAGGGGCCCTAAATGACACCCCTGCCCCTCACCCCATCCCCATGGAAGCCAGCGCATCAGCCCCCCACTACATACGTATGCAGAAGTCGCCGTTCTCGTAGTAGCCGGGGCAGCACTGGGACCTGCGCCGGTACATGGTCCTGAGGCCGCGCCGATACGCCGTCTTATAACTGATCCTAAGGCACAAGGGAGAAAGCCACTTGAAAGTATTGAAAATCAATCCCTCCCGTTTAGAATGATATTTGTGTTAAGCTGTATCGAGGATGCCATTCAATAATTACTTTAAAATGCATGGCGGCCTCAAATATGAAGGAAAAAAATAAAGTGAGATCGATGGCGGGATTGGGCCGCGTGGTGTGGAATGTATTAGGGACACGGCGTCTGCAGCGCCTGCTCGTTCCCCTGGGCTCCTCTGAGCGGGAGGGCTAGGGGGAGCCTGTGCGGATGACATTGTGCAGGCCACTGTGGGCTTCTCCTCGGTCGCTTCAGACCTCCAAGGGTTCCCCACGGGGAGCCCTTACAGGAGTCAACCCCAAGAGCACTGTGCCTGACCCACCCTGTCCCACCCAGGAGACCACTCCAGGCCCCCAGGGATGGACGGGCCCACCACTTGGGAAACAGGAGCAGAAGCAGCGAAAGGACCGCGAGTCCCAGTCAGCACCCCATTAATCTTCCTCCCACCGAAACAACACCTCCTGCAGAGAAGCCTGGCGCGCTGTCCCTGAGACCCCTGAGCAGAGCCCTCGGGGCCCCACAGGGCAGTGAAGTCGGAGGAAGTCAGAGGCCTGGATTCTAGTGCGGACACAAGACCTGGCCCTGTGCTACTGATTCATAAGCGAGATTCTGCCTACAGCCTCCAAGGCGGTACCATGACCAGGCCCTGCCTGTTTGGTTTCTTCCATTTCTTTCTTAGAGACTGGATTCTTACCCAGTGTTACCTGCTAGCCCCATCCTTTGGGTGAGAAAACTGAGTTTCATGGCATAGCTTCCGGCCTTCCAGACGGCCACAGGGAAGGAGTAAGAAGAGAGGACCTAGCTGGGCATGGTGGCGTACACCTGCAATTCCAGCACTCGGGAGGTTGACACAGGATTGTTGTGAGTTCGAGGCCAGCCTGGGCTACAAAGTGAGCTCAAGGCCAGCCCGAACTGCATAGTGAGACTCTGTCTCAAAAGGACAAAAAACAAAAGGAAGAAAAAGGAGAAAGAGAAGGAGAAGGGGACGAGGAAGGGGACGAGGAAGGGGAAGGAGAAGGAGGAGAAGGAGGAGAAGGAGAAGGAGGAGAAGAAGAAGGAGGAGAGGGGGAGGAGAAGAAGAAGAAGGAAAAAGAGAAGACGAAGGAAGAGAAGGAGAAGGGAAAGAGAAGAAGAGGAAGAGGAAGAAGGAGAAGGAGAAGGAGGAGGAGGAGGAGAAGGAAGAGAGGAGGAGGAGAAGGAGGGGAAGGAGGAGAAGAGGAGGAGGAGGAGGAGAAGGAGGAGAAGGAGAAGGAAGAGGAGAAGGAGGAGAAGGAGGAGGAGGAGGAGGACGAGGACGAGGACGAGAAGGACCAGGGACAGCGTGAAGACTGAGTCCTTAGATGGAAATCAAGATGGGGTCTTGATGGGCAAAGCCACTTTGCCATAAGCAAAGTTAATGAGGAAACCTGAAATGAATGTCAGGAGACCAGAGAGGGACAAATGGCCCAAGGTTGTGAAGTCTAAGAAGGGGCAAGCTCTTTCCAGCCCCCGAGTCAGCACCCATGGGCGCCGGCCCTGGGTTAGCTCCTCTGCAGCCAGCAGAGGGACCTACACCTGCTTCCCAGGAAGGACCTGGCCAGGTGAGAAAGGGAGTCCCCGCCCCCTGTAAAGGCAGAGACAGCCCTGCTTAAAGACCTCGCTGCATGACAGATGCCGACCCTGGCCTCTAGGAAATGAGTTCTATTTGGGAGGGTCATAACCAGAGGCCTCCCAGGTAAGCTGCTCCCCCCACACACACACACAGGAAGGCAGCTCCAGGCAGTTTCAGGGTGGTGTGCACCCCTGAGGTAAATGATTCACAGTTAGCTCAGAGGTGGGAGGTCATCGGCCCATTCTCTCCAACAATCAGGATGGCCCTGGCCATCCAATGGGGAGGAGGCCTCAGCACCCTTAATGCATTCAAGTCAGAGATGCCACCCACTGCCCATGGCTCCCCCTCTTGTGCTTGCTGCTAGAGTGGGAATCAGGCCAGGGCAGGGGACAGGTGAAGAAGGATGCTGACCAAGACAAGCTACCCCACACCAGAGCTGACCAGCGGTGCCCCGTCAGCATGCACACCCGGGTCATCGGGAAGCAGCTGCACGGTGATGCAATAACTTAGCAAAACAACCCGTGCTCTGGGAAGGCAGCCACTCACTCACCCACCCAGGTGGGGGTGGACGGCAGCTGTGGTCTCTCAGTGCCCTGGGGAGAAACACCTCAGAGCAAAGCAGGCTCTGGCCAGGAATGCCAGGGGACAGCTCGACTCCCATTTTTGCATCTACCTTTGACCAGGGCCAGAGGCAGCCAAGTCTGGCAACAGTGGGGAGGCCAGGAGGGACCCCCTGGTCCACTGATCACCTGGTCCACTGATCACCTGGTCCCATGATCACTTGGTCCACTGATCACCTGGTCCCATGACCACCTGGTCCCATGAGCACCTGGTCCCATGAACATTTGGTCCCGTGATCATTCAGTCCCACATCCACACTTCACAGCCAAAGCAAGAGGAAGGAGACATGGTTATGGCTGAGGAACAACTACTGGACCAAACGTTCTGCTAATGACAACACAGGAGGACATGGACATGGGGAGAAGAACGCCCCGAGCAGGCCAGCTCAACAGTACCCTGGGTGACTGCAATTCAGGTGGAAAACAGCTTCCCGGGTTTGGTTCCAGGACAGCAAGGTGAAGGTGGAGCCACTGGTTATTAAGTGCAAGGGGAAATCTCAGAAAGGAGACAGCCACAAAGGGGGAGCCCCAGTTCTTTGTCAAATCTCTGCCCAAACTTAGGTCCCTGAGTTACGTCTGTGGACAGCAGATTCCAAGCAGTCTCGCTAAGGCTAAAAATACTGAACTCTCAGAGCTTGGAAACTGAGGTCAGCCCAGTTAACTGATTCCTAAAACAAACCGTTTTTAAAAAGTAATACTCTAGAAGAACGGAACAGAATCCAGTCACATTTGTGATGTCCAGAATACAACCAAAAATTATTAGACATACAAAGAAAAGGGAAAATATTCCCTATCCAATGAACACCAGCCCAGAGATGTCGCAGGTGTCAGAATTAGCAGACAAGGGTTTGAAAGCAGATATTCTATCTGTGCTCTGTGTCTCAAAGTTAGTAGCTGCATATAAAGACAACCTGGACTTCAGCTTTGCACAGAGCAATTTCCCAGTCCACGTTGCTGCCCACCAGAAATTCCACCTAAACCTCAGAGAGGGGCCTGCAATCCTCCTGCCTCAGCCTCCTGAAGGCTGAGATTATAAGTGTGTGCCACCGCACATGGCTCTGAATTGAAAAGGAAGAAGCAGAAAAGAAGCCTGGAATCCACAGTGATGTTTTTTTTTTTGTTTTGTTTTTTATTTATTTGGTCTTTTTGAGACAGGGTCTCACTATGTAGTTCAGGCTGGCCTTGAGCTCCCTTTGTAGCCCAGGCTGGTCTCAAACTCGCAAAAATCCTCCTGCATCAGCCTCCCGAGTGCTGGGATTATAGGTGTCTGCCACCATGCCTGGCCTCAACACAGATGTTTAGCATCAAAGAAAAGGGCCCAGCATGTGGCCTTACCCTCCTGCCTTATTTATCCTTCTACTACTTTCACACCTCTCAGATACTAATGCTACTCAGATGTATCTAATACCTCCCACCTTCTTCCCCATTTCTCTTTGTATTTTTCAAAGTGCTGTCACACTCCTGACCTGACTGGACCCTGCATGTCAAGCGGAGTACACTGGTAATCCCAAAATAAAGTGACTTTCCCAGGATCATTCCTCCAAATGCGTTCCCTACTCCTCTCCTTACTCCCCCATGACATGAAAGCACATCACAAATTGTAGGAGGGTTCAGATAAAGGTGCAGGATTAGCAGGTGCCGTTGTTTGGATTTTTTTTGTTTTTTTGTTTTTTGTCTTTTTTGAGACAGAGTCTCACTTTGCAGTTCAGGCTGGCCTTAAGCTCACTTTGTAGCCTAGGCTGGTCTCGAACTTGCAGTGATCCTCCTGCCTCAGCCTCCCGAGTGCTGGGATTACAGGCGTGCGCCACCACGCCCGGCTCTAGGTGCCGTTGTTTGTGTTGAGCACTGCTAAAAGGTGAAGGTACTGAATGGCAGTCTAATACTCTGCTCTCCAAGCCAGATGCCCTGGGACGGGGCCACATCTGCTCTGAGGGTAACCGTCTTAGGTTTTTGCCTCCAGAAGCAGACCCTAGACAAAGACTCCAAGGTGAGCAGTTTACTTGGGAGGTGACCTAGGGGACCAGGCTCCTGAGTGACCCTGGGGGATGGAAAAGAGACACGGAAGTAGAAGCAGGTGGGCTTCTGCGTGGGTCACCACCATGGAGCCAGGGGCTCTATGCACTGGGATCAGCGGGGTCCACCCACCCCTCCTCTGTCACATCTGAGCGTATGCTCAGCACCCTGGTCCCCTGCCCCAGGCTCCTCTGGCATTTGGCACATGGACAGGGCAGCGAGGGGTGTGGACAGGCCGGCCCCTGCCTCGGGTTCTCTCCCAGCCTCCCGCCCTCCCAACCCCAGCACCCGAGAGCCATACTCACCGGTGCCGGGTGCACTTGAACCAGTTCAGGATGTCCGTGCAGCGCGTGTAGTAGATCTGATCGAAGGGGTGTGCGTACGACTCCTGCACGGTCACGGCGTAGCTGCGAACCAGACCGGAGACAGAAGCCACGGTCAGCGCAGGGAAGGCTGAGCCGAAGTCCCCTGCCGGGCTCACCTGGCCCACAGCCCCAGGTCAGGCTCCCGTGCTCGGCCTCCTGGTGTGAACCCCACCCCACCCCAGGTGGACCCAGGACCCGGGACCCAGGATCCAGGCCTTACTGCCCTTCGGCTCAGCTGATTTCCTGAAATTCTATCTCCTTTGTTCATTCATCAAAGAGTGAGCAAAGGAAGCGTTAGGTTTGCTCTGTGTTGGTTCTGGAAGGCAGCGCCAGCAGGTTTTAAGATGTCTATGTTCGCAGGGCACGGTGGCACGTGTCTCTAGTCCCAGCTCCTCGGGGAAGCAAGTGGCCCCCTTTATAGACGAAGAGACTGAGGCACAGAGCGGCAGCCTGCTCAGGTCACAAAGTGGTACCAGTGACTGTTCATGTTTATGAAATGCTCCGTGTTAAATGTCTCAGTGCCCCTTAACTCTCAGGTAATCTTATAGCGGAAGTGGGATTATGATTCTCACTTCACCCATGAGGACGTGAAGCGCCAGACAGTATAAGCGACATCCCCAGGCTCCCCAGCCCCCTATTCTAGTGTCAGCGGGGTACTTGGAGGACCCGCACCCCAAAGACAGATTCTTTTGCCTCCCTATTTGCTATAAATCTGGGCTGGCAGGTGGAAGCCACAGGAAAGCAGATCTCAGCTTCACCAGGATAAGCGCCCCGGCAGGGGGACAGGGAACGGCTCTGCGGCGGGGATGCTGAAGTGTGCGCTTGCCCCCGGGCAGGCTGCAGAGCGCCTCAGCTGAGATCGAGGGAACTAATTGTTAAGTCGGTTGGTATCATTCAGTGCTGTCCCCAGAAGGTGCCCCAGCCTGGGCCAGATGGCCAGGGCCAGGCCATAAAAGCCCGTCTGGCTTGCCTGAGGAAACTGGCATCTCCTTTGCAAGGTAGCTAGGCACAGGCGGGTCCTCACCAGGCTTATGGAGGCCCGTAAGGTCAAGGGTCAGGAACCCAGCAGCCGCCCCAGAGCCCTCAGCAATGGGCAGGCATCCCTGGTAGTAGGAAAGTCTACCTGACCCCCTAGGACTCTCAGTGTCCCTGCCAGCCAGCCCACCAGAGATGTGGCTCAGAGCCCTGCTTCTCTCCGAGTTTAGGGAAACTGAGGCAGCGCAACACTTTCCCACGGGCTTCTTCAGCTCTGAAAGTCTGAGGTACTCGGTGACATCGGCCGAACACCTCTCTCAGAGGCAGGAAAATAAAGGGGTCAGAGAGCCCCAGCTCTTGGACCCAGGGATGTGGGGCTATGCTTGATGCCTGTGGCTTGCTAGCAGCCTGTCCTTAGACACGTTTTTTAACTCCTGTAAACCCTGCCTGTAAAGCTACGATAAATATTACAAGGAAATTCATGTGATTACTGCAAGGATTCAAGGAGGTATCCATCTGTCAGGGCAGTGGGAAGGTAAACTGAGCGGTCCATGTTAAATGCCTACTGGGCACACAGCAAGTGGTTAATAGATGCTAGCCCTCATCACTACAGGCAACAGTGCCAGGCCAAAGGCTACTTCCTCCCCACGGTGGGGGAGAGAGGGAGCAATATCTGTCTGCGAAATGGGTCCCCGCCTTTGTTAAGCACTTGGGGCTCAGCCCCCTCCCAAGACTGGCAGGGGTTGTGGATGCCCAGCAGTGGGTTCAGGGCACCCTGGGGGATGGATCCGGCTCTGCAGGACGTCCTGAGAGGGGCAGGTCTGCCTCTGAGACCTTGTACCAACTCCAAGTCCGTGGTCTGCAGCGTGTGCCCAGCTTCCACGGCTGGGTGCTTCACCCCTGCACGTTTGCCAACATGCTAATGAGGGGCCAGATTACTCTTGTCAGCCCGGGCTCCCCCAGGCAGGGGAAGTGCCCACCCTACGCCAGGATTAAGGGGAGGGTCATAATTAATGAGGAGCCCGCAGAGGCACTAATCCAGCCAGAAAATTCTCCCTGAGCGGTCTCGGTCTCGGAGGAACGGGTTAGGGTGGCTTCTGGAATGCCGTACTTCTCAGCACTTGGCACCCTGACGTCAGCAGGCTGCCCCCCTGGGGCAGAAGCCAGGGGCTCCCGAGGCTTCGATGACACTGTCCTCCCACCAAGGCTGTGACTCTGGCAGACAACACCCCACCCGTACAAAGGGACCCAGAGAAGAAAGAGTTGGCATCGGCCCTGGCAGCAGGGAAGGCTCCCTGCAGGAGAGGGACAGGGCTGGAGCCTGGGGGCAGGCGGAAGTGACCAGGAGACACTCTAGGGCCAGGCTGCCACACACAGGACTATGTCTTATCCAGAACACAGAGGACCGTGGAGTCCAACCTCACACCTCCCTGACCCACTGGCAAAGAAAGTGTGAATCCGCCCAAACCCGGACGAGCAAAGGGCCTGGGGAACCTCAGAACGGGCCAAAGCCTATCCCAAACGCGATGCTGAACCGGCATCTCTGGGGCCAGGATCCCAGGAACACGCACCCTAGTGAGTCTGACATGCACAGAAGTCTGTGATGACTTCTGCAGCCGAGGTTGTCGGGGAGAAAAGACTGGAGCTTTACAGTCCTCGGAGCACTTCTGTGAGATGGGTGCCCCTGATCCCCCAACACGCCTGGGAAGTAACAATAATTTTCCTCCCAACCACCAGGGCTGGACATAGGCTCAGAGGGGTTCCGATGTTTCCCCTAGGTCACACAGCCAGCAGGTGCAAAGGTCCAGACCGGAGGGCACCGAGGACTCCTCAGCTCAGCTCTATCTTCTCTCTGTGTCACCAATTTTCTCAGGACTCCTCTTACAGTGTCCAGTCACTAGGGGTGACCGGCCTGGGGACTGTCCTCTGTCTCCAGGCACACAAGTGTCGGGGCTAAAGCAGATGGGGAGCCGTCCTCTGCCACAGCCAGCCACGCACCCCCACACACGGAGCATGGCCTCCAGTCCCTCCTCTCCCACCCGCCTCCCCCCTCAGACCTTCGTCTTAATTTTATTCATTTGATTTATTAGCATCTAAGTGGCAGAGTCGTCCTGGTCAGCATGGCCAATCAATTCCAGGGTTTAATTCGGTTTTTCCTGATTGGGTCTCTGGTCACTGTCTTTCTGCTCACCAAAATCAATACTTTAACCTTGTGCTTCAAAGTCAGACTATCTGCAGGGACCCAGACCACTCCCTAGGAGCTGATACTGCAGCCACAATGCCGCCCGCTCCCTGCGGTGGCCTCCATCACCCTTCCCCAGACAGAAGGGCAGGGCCCTGGCCCGGCGTGCTTGCCACAATGGTACCAGTCCCGGAGACGAGGCCTGGCATCTCTGTATCGCAGAGCAAGATGCTTGGGACCACAGTGCACAATGCCTCATTTGCTGCACCCCAGCTGGTGCGGACAGGGATTGGGCTCCTCTGAGCCTCGACATCCCTGTCTGTAAAATGGGTGTAACGTGCAAACACGGGAAGCGTGGGACAGCATGCTGCCAACCACAGTTACAGAAGCTGCCCGCCCACCTCCCAAAGCACTGCATTTTGTGAATCCGCACAGCTTAGCCCTGCCCCCAGCATCTGAGCGGTCCCCGAGCTGCACCGCGGCCTCTCATGGACAGCTGCTGCCTCTGTCCCCACACCGCCAGGCCCAGGGTGAGCCGCTGGGAGCCAGCTGAGTACTGCGTCTTACCTCTCCCAGTGGCTGCACACGTTGGGGTCCTCGGGGTTCAGGGTGAAGGCCATCTGCAGGAAGAAGAAGACAGCCAGGCCGGCCCCAGGGAGCGCCATGGGGACCCTGTGAGGGAGAAGCAGGGGAAGGGTGTCATTACCCAGGCATTTGTCCCCGCATCTGCTTGGCACTGGGCCTTCTCCACGAGGCAGGGGAACAGGCGCGCTAAGCGACGGCTCCATCACCGTGGCGTGGTGAGCATTGGATGTTTCCCACTTGTGGGCTTTGACTAACACTGCCACAGCTCGCGGGCTCCCAGCCACGGACAGCAGGAAGCCTGAGTCAGGGAAAGGTCAAAATTCCAGGCCAGCAGCTCTAGAGGGTTTTTAGCTAGGAGATGGCTTCAAGAATTGAATGAAAGTTATAGGCCATCTCACCAATCCGGCTATAGTTTCAGGGTATCCATCCTTGACCCAAGAACCCTGCATCCAACGCAGCCTACAGGCAATGTCCCCCCTGGTCCATCTCCGGCATCTTGGACAAGCTTAGTCCCTGGCTTCCTGCCCTGGTCCCCGCCTGGCACTTAGAGCCACGCAGCCCCCGAGTGTCACCCACCTCGTTCCCACCGTGGGAGAAGGGGCTGAGCTCAGTACGGGGCCCTGAGAGAGCAGTCGGCAGAGTGTGCTGCAGACCGCCAGACTAACCACGCGGCAGGCGTTCGTGTGCTTGCACAGGGGCCTCAGCACCCGCCTGGGGGACCGCAGTAAGGGCTCCTTGAGCAAGACAGAATCAGCCCAGTGAGGGGCTGGGGAGTTAGCTCAGGGGCAAAGCGCCTGCCTAGCAAGCACAAGGTCGTGAGTTCGATTCCTGGTACCAGAAGAAAACCAAAACCAAAAAAAAAAGAATCAACCCAGTGAGAGAAGCTCAGCTGATCCTTTGAGGCTCCTTCCTGTTCCAGCAATCCAGGGCTCTATGGTCCCCCCACCTGGAGAGCAGACGCTAGTCCGTGGGTTCCCACCTGGCAGGTCGCCAACCTTGGCGACATGGCGGAAGGTGGGGCCATCCCCAAGGGAGCTGAGGTTCACGAGTCCCAGGGTCTTCTATAAGCCGAATAAGCACCATGACCCACAGAGATAGCACAATATCTCATGTGTGCAGTGATGCTATCATGATGCTATTTATTGAAAAGATTAACTGAATTCAGAATAACTTTTCTTTTCAACCAACAACATACCCAAAAAAAAAAAAAAATACAGTTTCTAATAACTGGGGACGGAGGCATAACAGAAAATATTTTGACACTGGAAAGGAGCCCAGGCTTAAAATGACTGGGGACCAAGCCCATTAGCCCTGAGTGTCCAGATGACCCTCCCTGGGGACAGAGAAGAGTGGCGGGTACTTTGCACCCACCCCTACTTCTGCCCAGGGCACAGCTACATGGATTTCCTTTCTTCTCAAAGGTTAGACACTCTCCTCCCCCGTCCCAATAACCTCCTTGTTAAACTCCTTCTCAGCAGCTCCTTCAAAGATAAACAATTGTCACAAATTCTGTCTAACCACGGGGCCCAGATTAATGATTAATGAGGTCTTACTTTCTATTTGAAAACTAGAGATCATCTAGCTAAATGCAGATGTAGGCAGATTTCAAATGCATTCTTGGACTCCGCTAGGCAAGGGAAGAGTGGACACTTGTGTTCCCGTGCAATCTGCGGAGTCCAAGAGACACGGCCGCTCTGCATCGCCGGCTCACTCACCCCTGCGCCTGCCCCGGCTTCTGATACCCCTGGTGCCTCTGCAACCGCTGGGCACAGAGGAATGTGCACAACAAGCCGGCCGCAGAGGGCACGGGTGGTCACGCCCTCTCTCTTCCTCCAGCCTGAGAGATGGGCCTGGGGCATAGGGAGAATCAGGAGGGGCTGGGCGTGCTCTTGCGGGGAGGTTCAGGCTGATGAGGCATCGCCTAAAGAAATGAGGGATGGACACAGAGCTCCCCCAGGCACGGAGTCCAAATGCCAGCTTAGGAGGTTGCCTCGTCTGGTTCCCTCTGCAGCCCTGACCTGTGACCTGGGCAGCTCCGGTTCTCCCCAGAAGACCCCGGGGACATCTGCAAACTCCTTGAGCGTGAAAGCAGGAGACCACCAGGACCAGAAAGGGTGGAGCCTCTGGGCCTCTGGTGAGGGGAGAGGGTGATGCCTTTGATCCTTGCCTTGATTTGAGAAGTCTTTCTAAATCTCCATTTAAAAAAAGCCTTTCTCTCTGAGTCAGAGAGAACTGGACAGGATGCTTCACCTGACACCCCCGGTAGTGAGAGCCCCAGAGCCTGGGCAGAGAGAGGGCGACGGGCGTCAGCATGAACAACAGGATGTGGACCAGGGCGGAGTGGGCAGCACAAGCCGCAGCCAGGGCAGGGGCATTTGGACGGACAGCCTGAGGCCCGGCTTCCGCCCTCCCGGCTCCACTGGAGCGACTGTGGCCGGGTTCACGGGGCGGGGGCGCCCAGGATTCACACCTGGACTTCACCAGCGCAAGTTCCCCATTTGAGGCCAAGTCTACCTCTGAGGCCCCTGAGCGGGGGAAGGAAGGGCGCCAGCACTCAAGGCAGGAGAGAGGACTCGTCAGACCCCCTTGGACTTTTTCCTGGAACCTGGCCCAACCTGAATGATGCATGCGAGGCCGGGGGATAGCCAGGGGTAGAGCATTTGCCAGGCACGGGCCAGGCCCTGGGCTCCATCTGCACAATCAGTTCATCAAGATGCATGCCGACCGCCTCCCTCCCTGCTCAGGCGCGGCTTCCATCCTGCTCTTCCCCGCTACAAGTCCTGCTCACTCCACTCCTCCAGCCCGACCGCCCTGGGTCCTCAACTCTGAATATCCAGAGGTTGCCTTCCCACCCTGCTTTGTGTCCCAGGCAGCCACAGCAGGTGACTCACAGCTCGGGTCGCACCCTCCAGGGGGATCGCCATCACCTGCCCTGAGATTGTCCCTCCTGTCTGCTTTATCTTCCTGACACCGTCGTGAGCACCCCAAGACAGGGCCGAGCCCCAGGCTGCCCTTTCAGAAACTGACGTTTAGGGAAGGGTTTCAGCTTGCCTCAGACATTCCACTCAGGAGGAGAGAAAAGCAGCTTGAAAGGAGCTGTGACCTCGTGGGTGACGCCTCCTCGTTCACTGTAAGGGGACTTCCCCAGGCTCCCAGAGGACGGACCCCAAAGACATATGCTTACGAGCTGACGGAGGGAAAATCAATCCTGCCACAGCGGTTATTAGGCGACTCCATCTGGAGTGACAGAGGTTAACGGAGGGGGCACGGTCTGATTTAGGGCATTAATAATTAAATAAGAAAACGCTCCTGGATCATTTCAGAGGAAGCGGACACGTAAATAAATCAGCTGGTTGCCTTCCCTCTTGTCCCATCTCCCTGCATATTAAGAGCAGAGGAAGGGAGCAAAGTTCAGAGGGGGGGGGGGGAATTTCTTCCCTGGCGGCATGCATGGGGCTGGGGGGCCAATGTGTCCGCAAGAGGTGACTCCTTCCTGCCCACAGGGCACAGCGGGGGGCCACACACCTGGCACAGCCAGAACTGACCAAAGGCACCCTCCTGGACTATGCTGTGAGGGACACGAAGAAATGACACATCCTCGGCTGCAGGTCACTGGAGAGGACCCAAAGCAGCAAGTGACTAAAGACCCCATCTCGAGGAAGGCTGTGAAAGGCCGTGGAGCGGACGGCAGTAAGCATGGTGGAGAATGGAAATGTCGGGGCACAGGAAGGGCATTCCGGGCAGGAGACAGCACCAGGCACCGAAAAGAGACTGGACTGAGCAGGTGACATCAGAGGGAGTGAGTGACATCAGAAGAAGTGGGTGACATCACAGGGCAGGTGACATGACAGGGGACGGGTGACATCAGAGGGAGCAGGCGATGGCAGAGAAAGTAGGCGAGAGTGACTTTGTCCCGTGGAGCAGCAATGGACAACATGGAACACTTTGGAAGGGGTTTTCCAAAACTGGCTTCTATGGGACACTGGTGTCTCCAGGTATTGGCAGAAACCACGGAGACAGAGGACCCCGGGAGTGAACAAGCCGTGTCTTGGTCCTACACAGTCCCAGCGCATCTCAGCACACATCAGGCTCCCAGAAGACCCCGGACCTCTTTCTGGTGACACTGCTGGGTGAACAGAGATCTTCGTGAGAGCAGTTTGGGAAGCTCTGCTCCTCCCGCTCAAGGTCCAGTCTGAAGCAAGTCCTGGTCCCTGTCAACCTGTGTCTTTAGCCTTTGGGTGCACTGGTTGATCCTGACACTGAGGCCCTTCTGTGCCTGCCATCAGGTATCACAAGAGACACTGGCATCGTGACAAAGGGTCCTTCCTCCAACTCAGGGCTTCTGCACTTGCCTGGGTCGGCCCTTCAGGCACAGCAGATCTTGGAGCTGGTGACATCCCAGGAAGGCCCTTACCTTCAGCCTGGGGCCCCACCATCCCCAGCACCAGCACCTGTGGAGTCCAGCCTGGCTCCTGGACAGCCGACACCTGGCCAGGCCCAGCTGCAGACACTGGCCAGCACACATACAAGGGGCAAGGTACCGACAGACAAGGAGATGGCCTCTGTCCCGGGACCGGCAGTGATGACCTGACGCTCCATCTGTGCAAAGTCCCCACTGCGCCTGCTTCCCTGCCACTCCCTGCCCTATCCTCCCGACTGTGCAGAAACTTGAGCTCCACAGTCTGGTCCACGCACCTGGAGCCCGTTCTCTGCCCATCCTATCTTTCCCAGGGAGCTCTTCCTTCTCTACAATTTTAACTGGTGCAGGGGTTGCAGCAGTGAGACCCTACTTTGAGAGCCTCAGCAGTGTTCTTCTCTCAAAGTGCTGGGGATGGATGGTAGTGACTACTTAGAACACCCACTGAGAAGGTGCCCCTGGAAAAGCTGCTGTGGGGATCGCTAATGCCCGTGCGGGCCCTGGGTAGGAGCGGGCAGTACAAGTCTATGCACCTGTAGTTCCTACACTGGAAATTGTTGCACCCTAGAATCACCTCCAAGATGTGGCCTCAGCTCTTCCATCAGGCCTTGGAGCCCACACAGCATTTCCTTCCCCTTGCACCACTCCACCTTAGCTCACAAACACACTC